TTTGAGAATTATTTTTCTTCTCTCTGTTCCTCTGTTTCTCAGTATCGCCCCTTTGACCCCTGTAAGCAGCTTTGGTGTGCTCACCCAGACAACCCCTTTTTCTGCAAGACCAAAAAAGGTCCGCCCATTGATGGCACTAAATGCGGTGATGGGAAGGTACCACTCAGCCTTTCATACAGATCCATCCTGAGACTCACGTGCTTCCTCTGTGTTTATGTGTTGCTCTCTTCCTCTCTCAGCACTGTTTTAAAGGCCACTGTATGCAGTTGACTCCAGACATCATAAAACGGGACGGAAGCTGGGGGATGTGGAGTGAGTTTGGTGCCTGCTCTCACCCCTGTGGAAGGGGACTACAGTTTCGCACACGAGCTTGTGACAATCCACGGTGTGTATCTATCTATCTGTTGGTCTGTCTAAGTTTTTCATATATAGCTAATTTTTTTTCTTCCGTTAACCTCCTCCAGTCCAGCTAACGGTGGACGTATTTGCTCCGGCCCAAGTTATCAGTTCCAGATTTGTAATACGCATGAGTGTGAGGACCCGTACCACGACTACAGAGCCGAGCAATGTAGCATGATGGACAACAAGTTTGAGTACCAGAATACCTGGCACCACTGGCTGCCTTATGAACACCCCGACCGTAAGTAATATGGCAGATTTAATGACCACCGAGTTGAAAACAGCTTTTCCTCTGCAAAAAAGTCACCATGAAAACAGTTGGTCTAGATTAAATGTTTTTTTTATAATGTAAATAATTTTAAAATAAGATCTTAAATATTTTTATTTGTAAAGTTTATTTAAATGAATATAATGTAGTTTGAGTTTTAAATATATATTTTAATTCTATTATTTAAATTATTTACATTTTATTTAAAGCTTACTTTAGATTGTTTCCCACTCCTGTCCTGCACAATCTAACTCAGTTTGTCAGCCAGGCCTGTAAGCAGACTGATGTAATCCATCTCTTCGCACAGCTGTTTTCACTTACAGAGTGGGTACACATTAAAATATGATTTAATTCAAACCCCCCTCTTTTTTCCACATGTACTTCTACACTATTCATGACATCACTTAGAACATAACATCTCTCCAGAGTTATTAGCACTGTGGATATCTGCCTTAGTCTTACGATCAACACAGGCACATCCAAAGTAATTCTCATATAAAGAGCCTTTTTGGGCCTTTT